CAGTGCAAACCTCCGCCTTATGTGAGAATATTGTATACATCAAAATCACACCTTCAGATTTTAGTCATTTCCTTTCCAGTGCTCGTGCTCTTGGTGTCAGTCGTAGCGATGCTCATCCTGGTTGTAGGGTCCTCGTTGATGAAGTTGAGCATGTTGCGCAGGGACCGGTTCATGCTGTCTTTGAAGCTTTGGCCCAGACACACATAGAGCAGTGGATTGAGGCAACTGTTGAAATATGCTATGCAGAGTGTTAAAACGTGTGCCAGGTAAATGTTTGGGCTGTGAATGGAACGTCGAGGGATGACCAACGTCACAAAGTCCACAATGTGCAGAGGCAGCCAGCACAGGAAGAAGGTCAGCACCACAGCAAAGATGACTCTCACTGTTCGCTTGGAACGTGTCCGACCACGTGACAGTCCTCTCTGTGTTCTCCTGTACACCACCAAGTGGCAGATCACAATGACCAGGAAAGGGAGGAAGAATCCCAGCAGGAAGCGGAAGGAGGTAACCATCCAGCCACTGACCTTGGTGTACACCCATGTACACTCTCGCTTGTGTTCACCTGCTTCAATCTCCTTGGTGTAGACAAACTGGGGGATGCTACCTAACAGGGCCAAGCACCAGACAGCAACACACCCGAAGGCAGCTTGCTTAGGTTGCCTGTTGTTCTGGCACCAAACGGGTTTGCTAACCATGAGCCAGCGATCCACACTGATCAAAACCAGTTGCAGGACACTGCAGTACATCACCAAGTAAAACAGGCCTTTGACCAATGTGCAGGCCAGCGGGCCAAAGTGCCAGTGGTCATCGTGGACTAAAGGGACCATGAGTAAGGGGATGGAGAGGCAGCACAGAAGATCAGCCAGCGCGAGATTGAGGAACCAGAGGGACGTGACAGAGCGGGGCATGCAGAACCCTGTCACCCACACCACCAGAGCATTTCCAGGGACGCCGAGCAGGATCACAAGGCTGTACCACACCAGAGCCATTATCTGGATTGGTTGAATCT